CCTATGTGCCTTCTTTCTCAGACAACTCCTGCCAGCTTAACTTTGCCCTCTGCCACTGGTCCTCCCTGTAAGACTCTGAAGGCTGGAAAGAAGACTCCTTCTCTAATTGATCAAATCCATACTCAGCAAGAGCAGGACCCATGGAGATGCGCTTCAATAGGCAACTTTCAGGAAGCTTCCTTGTCTTAGTCTTTCCCCTTTTCTTGAAACAGGGAAAACTGCCACCATGACCAATTCTTCCTTGAGGGAGGAAGTCTTGCAGTTGTTCCAAAACAGACAGCAAGCTGGACATTTTGGAGTATTTAAAACACCCCTCTTCCTGCTGTATAATTTTTGGTGGCCTCACACTAGAGCAAAAATCAAGGCCTATAATGCTGTGAGATGTAGTTCTCACACAGTCAGTGAAAAATTACATGATAGCAAATATACCATGATAGCAAAAATAACATGATAGCAAGTGACAATGACAAAAACAAAGACTAGGTGGAAACAAGCTAACCTGCTCAAAAGAGAGGGAATGTAGTGCACCAGATATGGTGGGAAGAAAAATGAAATGTAAGAGTGTTAGGATATACTGGACTTGATATAGAAACACTGCAGCTGCTGAAATTCTTTGGTTATGGCTTCCTACTTCCTTCAATATATCTTTCTTATTTGTAGTTCATGCATTTTTTCTGAATGAAGCCTAGTAATTTCCTGCCACACATGTCACTGTATCCAAACCTTATTTATTTATTTATTTAAATTTATTATAGCCGCCCAACTCCCATGGACTCTGGGTGGTGCATAAAACCAAACCAAATAAACAAACCACCACCACCATCCCAATCCATAAAAAGAGATAAAACCTAAGGCCACACAGACAGCCCAGACTAAAATGATCTAAAAATGACACAAACCAAACCAAACCAAACACCCCATCCCCAAACAACAATACATTAACCCCCGGGCTGGGACCAAAGCCAGGCTTTCTGGAATGTAGGAGAGAGGCTGCTGTCTCTTTCATCCAATTAGACTGTAAACTCCTTTGAAATCCAACCTTGTAAAAATGTGTGCTTTCTGAAGTTGTTATAAGAGTTCACACATGAAGGGAACAATATAATGATCCCTAATGTTTGCTGTCAAGCCCTTACAGCAGGACACAGAGACTTTAATATGGAGTTTAAAAACAAGAATTAGGGGAAAGGTACAGAATCTTGGAAACTGCAATTGGAAACTCTAGCCATTATTTATTAGCAAGTTCACTGAGGCTGAGTCTCTTTGAAAGTTTTATTCTCTTTTTCTGGGTTTCCCGCAGCCTAGACAGAGCTGCCACTGATTAGGTAGGCCACTAACGAACCTTACCATCAATTGATTTATTGCTCCTCCTGTTTCTTTCTCACCTCCTCACAATCTCTTACAGTTACAGAGTTCAGGAGCCTATAATAAGGAACCATCCTTCTTTTTAACCAAAAAAAAGGAATGTTGGGTAGAGATGGAGAGACAAATGAAACCCTTTTACAAATTGTCTTTAGCTGATTCATTCAGTTTCTGACATGGGTTAGCAGCATTTTGCAGGAATCTGAGGCCCAAGAGTAAGTATGGTATAATCATGAAATTGATGGGGAGGCAGAATCTGTGCTTCCCACTCTCAAACACATGACCAAAGCCAGAATACTTGGGATAAGATACGGGGAAGTTCCTGCTGTACTGTGCTGAACAAGGGTAAGGGAGTTGAAACCTTGGAGGCAGTGAGTTTTGCATGCCTGGGAGCTCAGTGTAATGCTTTCCCAGTTCCAAAGAATGTGTGAATTGTGAACAGAAGCCAATCTATTCCTACAACTATCAGAAATTGTAATAAGGAAGCCAAATAAAGTTGCAGTGACTCTTGATAATAATAGATGATGAATCGGAGAAGGTCCATGTGATCTGAGTTGAGCCACAAGCATTGGAATCAACCATCAGTAGTTTCCATTCTCACAAGGGTTTCACAGGCTGAACATGCAAGATATATTTCCATTCAACCGAAGATTTTATGAAGTTGCTTATGGCACCAGAATAAAATAAGGTCTGCAGCTCTATAGTCAGGCAGTCTAGGCCTGAAATGTTAAACAAATGACTAAATGTTAATGGGCAGTCCCACATATCTGACCTCTTCTTAATTTTCAGGTGTAACCATGTCAGAGCCCTTTGATGTTGGGACTGATTTGTTTCCCAAGAAGCCAGATCAGGTTGATTAGTGGCTTGTTTGGAAAATGTACAATACTTTATTGGTATTTCAGAAGGGGGTGGTCTCTTGGGAGGGCACTCTCAAGAAACATAACTAAATTCTTCACAATATACACATTGATCTTGTGTGTGTTGACCTAGCTCTTCTCAAAGAGTGAAGCTCTCCATACTCCCAGCCATGGGAGTTCAATATCCAAAACTATTGATGAGTGAGAGGCGGTGGGAAGGATGGAACAAAAGAGAATAATGTAGGGTACAAAAAAGAATATTTCCTCTCCTGCCTATACTATGCCACAATTCCTCAAGTATTTCACTGATCCCTAAGTAGAATTATATTAATGCATACAAAATCTCTGTGGTAATGGATGAGTTCGTCCTGTATTTCTCCTGGCTGACCCTCTTCAAATTGGGCATTTAAGCCTCATTAATCCCAACCCACATCTGAGCTAACAATCGAAAGTCAACAATATAATTTCTCACTAAGCATTTACCTTGCCTTAGGTTACAGTTTTTGTCACTGGCAGTCACCTGTTTAAAAAATTAATCAAAAATAGCCCTGAACAGTGTCACAAAATTGGCATAGTTGTCCACATCTGGGCTGTTCCACAGCAAGAAATTGGTTGCCTATTTTGCCACTCCTTCTGTCAGGAAGCCAATTATAAATCCTACATGAAATCAGTCCAAGGGGAAATCCTAAGGTCTTAGAGAGATGTACAACTCATATTGAGAAAGAAATGTATTCAATTTTCCCAGATTCCATCATATATCAGGCAGGGAAGCAAATGCTCAGCCATGGAGAACCACTGCAGCTCCCACTATGGCTGCTGGATCCTGGGTGTGCATGGGAGTTGTCAAAGGAGAAAAATTCCACCCCACTTGTTGCACTAGTTTATTTATCATTAACCAATCAATCTCAGTTGCCACATGGTTATGACACCAAAACAAGGTACTAGTAATCTCTTTCTCAGTCAAGGGATTTACAAGAAGATCAATAGGCCTGGTTTATTTCTGGAGCTGTGAGTGCTTTTTCTCATTCTGTGAGGATGAGATGAGTAGCTGATCTTGCTGTCAGAGCTTCATCCAACAGGCTAACAGTGGAAGAGTCAAGGATAAAGCTCAGATAGATAAGTTGTTTTTATTACAGATACAAGAAGCCCTAATAATGAAGATCAGATACCATAGAATCAACCAGTCACACCCTCTGTTTATTGGCCTCTCCCACCCCTTCTTTCTCCCACCCTTATGTGGTGACAGACTTCTTGCTGTTTGTTCTCAGCCTTGGATACGGATGGCACCTGCATTGTCTTTTGAAAAATGTCCTGTCTTGTCTGCAAGCTTCCCACCCCTAGCCTACAAACTCATATACTAGCTTAGATAAATTCACACTTAGTTCTTATACAAAATACTATGTATGAACATATATTATACTACTAGCCATCTCACACTAATAGTTATTTTACATACACACAACGTTACCCATCAAATAGCACATTGTTGCAGCAATCTACAGGAAAAACGTATATGTAAGCACTGCAGCACTGCAAAGCTAGCTTACATAACTGCAAGTACACATGGCACCATACAATTTAAGAATGCTAATGAGGGATAAACCATCATTTAAATAATTACAGATGTTGTTAGAAATTTACAACAGTAATTATACTATATAGTACAAAATCGCTGTACATTAAATGTGAACAAAATTTCACATTTTTCTTTGGCCTGAGGCATTTAAAATTGCCTCTGGTAGCTGCCAAAAGAAGCAGTTATAAAATAAACTAATTCCATAGTTTAACATCAGAGAAATTTTCAGAAATTTAAGATTCTTTGTTCATCACATAAGCTTTACAGAACAGGTTGCCAGGAGAAGTAGAATAGGTAATCTCCTCAGCAATAACAAATACGCAGTCCAGGCCATTTATGACTTATACTACTGTGGTACTTGTGATCCTTGAACTTTACCTGAAAAAGCTAATATTGTAAAAACAGACGCATTTGGTGGAGTTACCAGTGGATGTCAAAAATGAGTATGCTTTTATTGTTCAAAACATCTGCTGAGCAAAGCATTTATACTGATATTATAAAAATACTAACTTGTCCCTTTAGGGTGAATAGTGATACCTTCCACCACAATCCTAGGCTGAGTAGCTCAGTCATCTTAGCTAAATTAAATTTGTATTTATTAGGGTTGGATAGTGCTTTGGATTCAATTCAGAAGAGGTGCTTTGGAGTGCCTGGGAGTGTGAATAAAGCACCTGCCTGTGACTCATTAAAGCAACTTTTCCAGCTCTAGCTGCACAATCCTGAAAACAGACACAACTAATTTGTCACAGATAAGCGTTCACTCTCCCACATTTCAAAGTACCTCTTCCAAAGTGAATCCAAAGCATTGCACAGCTCTAATATTTATTCTCTCTCCATTAAACTGAAATTGAGTCTATTACTGTTCAAAGAATCCAACAGACATTCAATTGTTTGATATGGTTTTTAATTCATCTTGCATATCTAGGCAGACAACCTTTTGTAAATGGTGATGGAGGAGAGTTATTCTAAATGAGAAAGCGAACACTACTTTAGAAATTAATATCTATACCTCTATCAAGCATTCATGGTGACAAATAAGAGAACAATGAATTCTGTAAGAGCCATCTTAATGCTTTAGTTTAGGGATTACAGTATAAAAGCTATTTTCTCTGTGTTAAATCACACAATATCAGTACACTTGCCCCTAACTATTCCTGCTGCTTGCTTATATTTCAGGTAACAAAAATCTGGAATATTTATCTTCTTACCTGAGGTAGAGCGGAGTTTAATTGTCTCTGCAATTGGTCTCGCTCATGCAAAGTCTCCTGCAGCCGACCCTGAGTCACAGACAGTGTCTCACGTGTTTCCCGAAGAGTCTCTAGCAGTTTATCTCTCTCATCAAGCATGTTCACCATCAGCTGTTCAAAGTTGGCATCAGAATCAGAGCCTGGCTGTGGCCCTAAGGGGTCACTCTCACTAATGGTAGGCATTACCTCACACATCATGGCAACACTTTGCAAATTGCCTGTGTTATAGGAAGAACTTGAGTTGGCAAGGAAATCTCCCTAGGATGCCTCTTAAGGCAGTAAAAACAGCAAGTTAAGGTCACATGGTTACTGTAGGCCACTGCAGATTGTGGCAACTGTCAAATCTAGATGACAAAGTCCATAAAACCTCCATTTCCTTTTGCAAATAACTGAAACTAACATTACATATCTAGAAAGTTCAGAAAAAGTCATCACATCATTATGCACAATGAATGCGTAAAGTAATTAAGATCAGCAAGGCCCCTAGATTGAACTGACAATGTGATCTTGTGAGAGTCATTCTTATAATCTTTGATAGATATTCCTTTGATCTCTCCAGTGATGGCCATCAAGCAGGACATAGAGTTCTTTGTTGTTAAAAGCATTCATTGTTTCCTTTCATCACAAAAATCCTTGCTGTCTTAAGACCTGGAAAGGTTTAGCAAGTCTGCAAAATATTTCAGTTGTCTTGATATGGTCAATAAAAAATCAACTTAGATAGATCAAGCAATAGTTTGTGAAATCCAAAGGGAGAGTAGACTGATCATTCATGAAGCAAAGTTAAACTTTTGTCAAAGATTCATCTTTCATTCTTCATTTAGAATCTGTGAAAAAGAATATTTACAGATTAGAATGGTCAATTTTGTTTCATTCCTACATTTAGATCAAGAAAAAGCTTTAATTTCTTGAGAAAATTCAGAAGGGGAACATTTTATAGAGAATTCTACATCACAGATTAATATAGTTTACCATTTGTTCCCTACAGCCATTCCTAATTTAACCATCAGGTTTTTATTCACAGATTGTAGATGCCGTGGAGCATTTGTTCTCATTTCAGAGCTTTAATATTTATTCCACATTATATCTTTTACAGACCACCTTACTGTAATGTATCTTGAAATTAAGTATATTTTGCCTAGATCCATTTCACCAAAATTCTATTGCAGAATATTTGCTTCTTTTTATCAGATTATTTTTCATATTCTGGTCCTGCTTCTTGCTTTGGGGTAATGGATTGGTCATTCCTGCTGCTACCACCTAACTTCACAGGAGTATATCACCCCAGTGTGTGAAAAAGAGGGTTCTCACAACCTGTCCTATATTTCTCACAACAAAAAGATAAAATGAAAAATGAAATAATTTCTATAGCGCCACCTCCTGATCACATAGTACCAAGGCACATGAGTACAGGAATCAGCCTTTGTCCTCCCCCTCCCTTGGGAGACAAACCAATTTCAAAAAAAGATAATTAAACTTTTACTTAAACATTAAAAGAGAACATATAAAATCATTTTTTAATAAATTGAGTGATGAAGGAGATAAACTCTGTCGTCCCCTCTACCCCCCAAAAAATAAAATGCAACAGACAGTTTAATTCTGCAATTAGACAACAGGATGATTTTTGTCTGCCACAAACAGTACTTCCCCATAGTGGGAGTCCCAGTAAAGAGATAGGAGATTTCCTATTACCATCAATACAACAAAATTTTAAGGAGCCTCGCATACAAATCCTAGCACAGTTCCTGGCCAGAATGTATTACCTATTTATACAGAAATACTGTAGTCTTTTTTTTTCCCCAAGCCAAAGGCCACCTGCTTCCTTTTACCTTGACTTCTCTTTTCCTAGATTTGGGGAGATGGCAAGAATCCCATTCATTTTCTCAGCCTCAGTGCACAGTTTTTACCCCTTTTCCAGTTCCGTCTTCTTTTTAAAAGCTCTCAAAACTTCTCTCTCTAGCTGAAGGAGGGGTTGGGGATATCCCTCTGTGCCTATGTGGCAGACAGAGCATCTTTCCCTCACAAACATGTTCATTCTATGTGTACTGAGTCAGAGCCTGCCTATGGGCAAGGAGGGTACACTCATAACACTGAATTACTTCTACTTCCTGATAATAGTCACATTCTTTAAAAAAAAAAGATTAATATGATTTATTAAACACATATTGTGTTAAACAAAACAATACAAATAGAAGAACCAGACCAAAAAAAAAATCTTAAACAAGAATAAGTGAAGAAAAAGAGGATAGATCTAAATGTTGGTGGCAAAATAGTCAGAATGAATTTTTTTCCACCAAAATTAAGGGTAAAAATAGGAGCGCAACACCTCAGAGAGTCCTGCCACCTAATCATATTTTAACTCCCCGGTTGTCCCAAAACTGCCATGATTTCATGATTGATTTCAGCCCAATATTTATTTATTTATTTATTTATTTATTTATTTATTT